TCGCCTAGATGGAGGAAGCTCGCCGAGCCGAGGATCTCACCCATCTTGTGATTCTCTGTTGTGTTCGAGTCTCTCCCCTCTCTGTCTCTCTTCCTCTCTCTCCCTCTCTCCTCCTTCTTTCTCTCTTCTTCTCGAGTATCTCAAAGTCGGAGAAATTCAACCTCTCAGCCGAGTGAATTATTCATGGCTACACCTGCGGGGGTAGAAACGATCGTTACTTCTCGCGGATTAGAAACAGAGCATGATGGTGGCGGATGCACTTCGCGAGGGTGTTTCTTTATTCAACAACCAAGTGTTCGAGAAACGATTAGAATAGGGCAATGTGTTGACACGTGTTCTATTCTGGTGATGAGCATTCATAGTTAAAGATAATAAACGTGTGTTTATTGAGATTATGTTCGGTTTTGGGTACAATTTATGGACGTATAGTTTCAAAGAGGTTTGAGTGCTTTTGGAAATGGAAACTAGATTTAGAGTCTTTTTTTAATATCGTTTTTATACTTTTATATAGGAAGAATGTAGGTACATGTATGCAGATTGTTGTAAAAGAAGCATTAAACTGAAAGAGATGGATTATGAAGAACTGAAGAATTTTTTTTAGGAAAATTCATATATCATTTAATATAAATTTAAAATAATTTCATCGTTAAAATATTAAGTATTAAATATTAATCTGCATTATTAACAATAAATTACGGGAACAAACAACAGATTTGTTTTTAAAATAACTCATAATGAAGTAATATTTGAATAATATTACTAATATAAATTTATTTATATGAAACACAATATTTCGATTCAGAATAGTTGTGATTCATAATCTGAAGCTAAATTTAATATTTTTACGAGTAGCGTAATACGTTATTACGAACGCACGAAAAAATAAAGGATTTCAATCGACAAGATCGCTCGTTTACGAGATCATCGAACCAAATTGTTTCATCGATCATCGTGAAACGATTTATAAACAAGATGGAAACCGGAATAATATCCGGACAAATAATATCCGGATAAACTGGACAAATCGCGTTTCTCAATCGAATGAACGAGATAAATTAAACGCGCCACGTTTAATTCTGCAATTTGTATATTTCCAGTTACTATTAGACAGAAGCAATTTCAAGTGAGATTTTTGCGCATCCCCAACAAGGAAACTTCCGATGGTTTTCAACGTGTTGAAACGCGATCCTTATAAAATAGGTCAGCTTAAACTCGATTTCACGATGGAAATTGCTATCTTTCTCCTGTCCAACTGAATCCACCGCGAAAATGATACGAAGGAAATTGGCTCGTCCTGTATTTCCTATCTGCGGAGCGAAGGGTCCGTGCTCTTCGAGGGTTGAAAAATTGAAGGTCGAAACAATTAGGCAGATTTAGATTATCGAATTACGACGAATTCGTTGAAAGTAAAATTCCATTAAAATTGATTTGATTCCAAGGATCAGAAGGATAAATATTATAATGAATTTTTAAAATTTAAAAGTTTGAGATTAATTTTAGTTTTTAAAGTGAAATAATTTGTCATAATGGTTTAACCGGTTTAGCTTTAATTTATTTTTATGTTATATAAATTTTCCACGAAAATTAAATTTAAATTGGAAATTATATCCTCGAATTAAGAAATAATTCAAACTGGTCGACGATCGTCTCTCGCGCAATAGAAATTAATAAAATTGCTGATTAGTCAGAAGTTTATTTGAGAATCTTTTTCCCGCGTCATGTTGGCAAACATTTCTACAACATCGAACTTTCGACGATCGTTCAATCCGCATGTGCACCTCGTTAAATCGCGGCGCGAGCTGTGCAAACGCCATATTTTCCAATATAAGAACATTATCATCGATTTCTTCTGCAAAAGTGAGCCCACATCTCGCTGTTTACATCCAAGCCTAAGGTTGAAGGTCAATTTATTTTCAGAGATGGTCACGCCATTCTTTCTTTGCGCCAAGATAACTTGATTAGGGATCGTTTCGCCTCTGGGAATCTCTTCGATCGATCCTCCAACGAATTTAAAAGAACAATGAAACGTTTCTTGCCCCGTCAATTGATCCTTAACAGACTTATTGCTGGGAACGAAACTTTGCTCGATCCCAGTCCTCGATTGAACGACAATCGAATTCCTCCGCGATTGCAACGAATCGATCGATCGTTTGAATCTCTTTTAACCCAGAGAATATTAAATCTCTCTGTTTATAGACAATCGATTGAACTTCTCGATTGAACACTCATTCGAGGATGGAATAGACCGTTTTTAACGCAAATATTGAATGTTCAGTTTATAACGATAAGACTAAAAAAAAAAAAGTAAAATAAAATAAAATAATGTATTTTTAACAGTTTCAACAGTATTTTTAACAGAACTTATTAAAAAAGAAATATGCTTTAAGATATAATCGATTGTTTGTAATTTTCGTTTTGTAGTTTTTTTCTTTAACTTTGCTTGATTATCATTTAATATAAAAAAAAAAAATAAATAAACAGGAAGGAAATTCTTCGTGCAAAAAAAGCAATAACATAAATTTATCAATAAAATAAATTTATCAATCCGTGTGTGGTAATAATAATATTCATCGTTCAAAAATTTTGGGAATTTTTCATGTAATCCTATAAAAATAACAAAGTAGAAAAGTATCATTAATTGACATAAAATATTGTTTGTAAATCAAAATCGATTAAATTACCACTGTCGGTAAAAAAAATTTATTATCCAAAAATAAAGAAAAAGAAAAGAATAAAAAAAAAGGATTCAACGTTCTCATTTAAATATATTTAACATCCGTGTCGTAATAAAATTGCATGATACAAAATCATTAAATTTAAACGCTAAACTCGAGTTTATTGGTAAGCGGAGAACGAAAGTAGAATGAAATAAAACAAATCTTAAGTAAATATACTTTATGAACACTTATTACTTAATTGCTTCATAGATAAATAAATTTCTGAATTTTATCTTTACTGTATCTTAATCTGACTGTAACATTTGTCATGATTCAGCGTGCTTACTACCGATTCTTATCCCTCTTATAACGCATTAATTATTAAGCTTCTTAAGAAACCTTACCACAGTTTTTTTTTTTTTTTTTTTTTTTGCATTGCCATTTTTTTCTACCGTTTAATAGAATTTATTTTGCGTGAAATATATAGATAATATTATTATGATAGATAAAAACATGTGAATCGAACGAAGAATTTAAAAGACGATCATTTAAACGTTTATTGAGCTAGTAGGTTTCTATCATAGGGCAACATCATCCGTCAATTTGTAGCCACATTGTCGAGCAATTAAATCGTTCGAGGCGCTGGCGTGACTACTTTGCCGTACATAGATAGGCATCAGAAGGTATTATGATTTGATTTGAGCAGTGCTGTTACAACTCTGTTTTCATCGAACGAAAATTGCACATAGTTTTGATTTTTGTTTTGGAATGCAGATTGTGGAACAAGAAATGGGTTAATGGGATTTCGTAATAAAAAATATAATCAATTGGTGTTCTTGAAGTTCGAGAAGATCAATTAATTTGAATTTCAAAAAGAAAAATTAAAGAGCAATAACTTGAAATTTCCCAAATTGTGAAGTATAAATTTAAAAAAAAATCTCTGAAATATAGAATATATTTTAAAAACTATAAAAAATTTCTAACTTTAATAACATTTAGTTTTTGATAATTTGAGTTGAAAAGTTTGAAACTGAAAAACTCGTGAAAGTTTCGTCTTCGAAATAAAAGTCTAACTTTGAACATAATTCGAATTCAAGTTGAAAGTTTGAAACTAAGCCTGTGCAAGTTAGAAAATTTCTATTTAAAAAATTAAACTAAAGCTGTAAAAATTATAATTAATAATTGAAGAATAGTTGAAAAGTTTTCAATTTAATTTCAGTCTAAACTTTAAAATGCGTCGAATCCGCATCGCTAAAAGGTTTAATTTCGCTCATTCTATATTCTTTTGTCTCTCAAAACAGGATCCACTCGTCTAATTTGTCCCTCAATTGCTTTGGAGAGCGTATTGAAGTTTCCTCGAACACGATCAGCGAATCTGGTCGACTCCAATTTAAACTATTCTATGATGGTACATTATATTCATCTATTCCTATTTTACTTGCGTGCTACTTTCCCTATCAAAGTATCTACAATCCGAGCTTCCTTGTACATAGTCAAATGTGTTACCTCATTCACATCTGCAACATTCTATTCCTGGTGTTCATTCATAGAAAAATCCACGAGATTGGTATGGGTATATGATGAGTCACGAAGATACTTTTAATTTTTATCTCGACGAATTTACGTTTAAACGTTTGTTATCAATCGGATGTCAAAGAATGATCAAAAATATTATATTATATTAAATTTTGAATTAATATACTACGTAAGTGAATAATATAAACGGTAAATTAACGGTATAAGGACGGAACATTATAAAGACACGGTTATAAATTTAATTAAAAGTATACCTCAGGTCGTTTAGATTAATGAAAATTCAACAGAGTGAACCGAGTTGCGTTAATTTATTGTACGAGCACATTCGAGTATATAAATATTTCTATAAAACCAATTCAGTTTTTATTACTTCAGGCTTCTTTTATATTATCCGATTTCTCTTGCATAATTAACGAATATTATTAATAAATATTTTACAAATTACAAATTATGTCAGTGATGGTAAATTTTGGATGATTAATAAAATTTTAATAATCACGTTATGTATGAGTTGAATAAAAAAAAGAAAAGAAGAATTCTATTGCGTAAACAGCAAATGTTTGATAATAAAACGATTGAAAAAATAATAATAAAACAATAAAAACAAGTAATAAAATAATTTTATGAATTTCAGGTGATCCGATTATTTTATTTAAGTAGAATTATAAAATTGATACTAATGTTATTAATTGATAAATTATATAAAACAAGAAATGGTCTTTGATTTGCAATACAATTTTTCGTAACTTAAAAAAATTAAATAATACGTGTAACACTGTTCCCATTTTTTTAATTGTACTTCTAATTTGACAATCTTCGCATTGCATGCACAACATGTTTACCATGAAATTAGTTATAAAATCAAATAATTCGAAGCGGATATCGTGAAACTGCCTGCTCACCGTTAATTTTTAAAGAATACTTTCTGAGTTTTATTAAACTTGCGCGAATATAGCATTAAATGTAGCACGTGAACGAACTAAGCCAAGAATATATAATAACCGCGATCAGAAATTAAAATCGTGCTTCTATATCTCTAGAGAGATTTCCATTCAAATAGAACGCGAAAATAAATAATCGGCTTAGAAAAAAAAAAAAAAAGAAGAAGAAGAATGAAAATAACCAGAATCAAATAACAAAGTAGTCATTAAAAGGAACATTATTTGTTTAAATTTGATCCTCGTGAAACTCGAATAATAAGAAATTTCTCTCGCGTGAATGAAACGATGTATAAAAGGAATATTTTATTTTTTCTCTTTCTTTTTTTTTCTTTTTTATATAATACAATTTCGAGAAAATTTTATTCCCTATGAAAATGATGGATTGACAAATTGTTCGCGGAATAATGGAGACATGTCGTGTGAAAAAAGAAGATACGAAATCGATGAATATTATTAGCTATACATGGAATAATTGTAATATATTTTGTTTAATGCTATAAAATAGATAGCTCTGAAATAGTTCTTAATTCACCACGATCTTCGGTTCAACAATAATCGTGGATGATCCGTGAGTAATCGAATCGGATTGATAGAATTTCACGTAACACATAAATGAAGTCTTTATTGCGATATTCGTGATATGTTTTTATTTTTATTTTTCCTTTTTTTTCTTTTGTTTTTTCCGCATATCTGTGACAGTGACATTGAATTTACATCACGTTTCATTAAATTTTTTAAATTGTTATAATTTAAATTGATTTGTCGTAGGAGGAGCGCACGATCGAATGCATCCTCGACGATGATATTAATTACAAATTTTTTCATTGAAGCGTATAATTTCT